AAAAGGCTGTAGGTACATTAATATTATATAATGCTAATAAAAACTGTGAAACTTTACAACATTTGACAACAAAGTATAGAGTATGAAAAAGTGAGTGGTAGAGTGAACACAATTCATCCGTAAAATTTGATTATAGTCTCTTTGTACTATTTTGTGCACTGGCATAATACAATGTTGTTTATTAGGAACAAATGGTGTTTCAAAGGACATCAGCTTCAGCTGCAGATTTAGTGAACTTTTATGGTATTTTAATTCAATTTTATGATTTCACAGATTTAATTGTGTTCATTCTATAACTTGACTGTGAAATAGCTACAGGAAAAATTAGAGAATTATTTTTTTAATATTATTGACCTGGTTCACATGACTGATGCAAGATATCAGACAATGCAAAAAACGCATTTTTCTTACTCTAAGGTGTTTGCATGTTTAATGTGCAAAAATTTGCCCTTGAATTTGTGATTACTTGTAAATGTTTGACATGTGTTTAAGCCCATTAAAAATTTTTTAATCCTGTATATTATGTAATTCTAGAACAATTACAACTAAACATGCCAATGCCAATGATGATTTCATTTATAATAATAATTATTAAGGAGTTTTGATAATAAATACTTCTTAAATTTATTCCAGTTAACAATCACAAATAATAATTATTAATCAAGTTTTAACATTAACATTGCATTTCACAGCACACATCTGCATTGACCCCAAGAGCCAAGTAAAAAAACTAAAACTTAATAATTATCTAATTTTCAAGGATAGGTTAAAAAACTTAGTATATTTACCACTTTGTAAACACAACCCAAAATGAGAAAAAGAAAGCCATTTCCCATTTTATCTATAAAATAAATTAATATATTAATCATTTTTAATGTAGCCAGTCAGGAGTGATGTAAATTCTCTTGCGGGATATTCCATACAACATTTACTCTTGTTTTTACATCACTTCATTTGCATTTTTTAATATTCAAACGTTTCTATTCAAAGCTTTTAGATAACCTATTTTTTCATAACAGAAGTGCTTGGCAGGATACCCTTTTAGATAAAAATGATTCCTAAAAAGCATTAGATGCATTTGTTCAAAAAAACAATAACTGGGTTGAAGGAATAGATAATGAAAAAATCCTATGTTTGTATTGAAGGGCAATAGCATACAACTAAAAAAATATATCACAAGAAATTTGCTTACCGTTAATTAAAACTGAAGTGCCACTAATAGAGATTACAATATTTAATATATACAAATTTGTATATTTGTCAAACAAGCAGACGTTAAGCATCTGTAAAATTAATATACAGTTATATGACATGAACTCTATWTTTTCAAAAATAATGTACACCTAATAGATTACATTCTACTATATGGTGGTGYGGCATGACGTAATACAATGCGTGGATTAGGTTGTGGTGTGTTTGCTTGCGGATTCTGTTGGGCTGTYGATGGTAGGCGTGGTGGCAGCATGCGGTGTGCTTGCTGTTGCTGTTGAGGTATAAACAAGTTGATAGGTTGATATGTTGTGCCTGGGCGTGGTTGATACACAGGSCGKGCTGCTCCTAAGTGTTGCAATAGTTGCTGCTGCTGCTGTCGTAGTTGTTGGTTGTGCATGTTATGYGTAGGGGGAAGCTGGTAATGTCTGCCTTGCATTGCTGCATCTGCCTGCATTCGTGCCATGCGTTCAGAGAGCTGTTGYCGTTGGAAYTCTTGCATTTGTTGCAATACAGAATTGCTGAAGTTTAAGTTCTGGGACGGTACAGCTTGGCGTTGTTGTTCTAGTTGYTGTTGTGCATACTGTGCTTGTAGAGAACGAGCATCTGGAAAATAACAACCAACTATCAACATCGAAATACTTGAAATGTTATAATTTTCAMATTGTTGAATCTAAATTGCATTATTTTTCCTTTTCCACTTCTATTTTTCCCCATGTTTACCACTACAGTATCATTAGAAAGTGCTTCTTCAAAAATATAAACAGCTTTAGACATGACTAGTGCCCATAGCTAATATGCCCTCTCTAGTCCAGCAAGGACAGCAGCCACCATCATAATAGTACATGTAGTCACATGATTTCAACCCATGCCACCATTCTTTGTTGGTAAGGATATACCTGTTGATATATCCTCAAATTGACTTTTTCAATACAGTTATTGTGAGAGTGGTTGACTGTACATGTACTTGGGTTACATGTACTACATGTATTAATTTTTCCAGTCATATCCAATTCCTTTGGGCATGACCACTTAATTTCTATGCTGATACTTTTACATGTAATATGTTAATAAATAAGAAATCCTCACCCAATTGTTGTTTAGCCTGGTTTTTCTGTGCTTCATAAGCAGCCCAAGCTTGCTTACACTCTTCATCAGTAAGCTGCTCTTCTGTTTTGTTTTGCAACAAAGAATCATGTTCATGGTACTTCACAATCCATTTTGGATGCATTCTGTTAATCAAATCTGCTAAAACTGCATCCTGAATTACAAAAGAAAAGTATGAAATCAAACCTCTATTCCACCTATAGTTGTAAAAGTTTGGTACTACTAAACTATTTTAATAATAACTTTCTCAATGGAAGCATCTATTCTTGGGTTTGATGATGTCAATTTTTTGGAGATATTGAAGGCATTWATTTGATATTCAATCATCCTTTCTTATACATGTATGTACATGTAGATTATACCTTTGGCAGAGGAAGGCTGGGGACATTGTCTTTGTCTGTCTCTTCATTGTAGACACTTGGGTTAAACCTGTAAAGCTCTGCTAGATCAGCTGCTGTAAAGTGACGTTCAATTTGATGCTTGTCAATCACACGTTGAGATGTTGACAACTTGGCGATCTTCACACAAAAAAAAACAAAGAAAAGAAAAGAAAACTATTACAATTAATTAAAAGAAAATAGAATTGTCAAAATAAATAATATACCTGTCGGTCATATATCCTTTCTTCCATTGCACCCTACAAAGTTAATAAATAAGCTTTGCTAAGTTTATGATACTTGTAAATAATATRCAAGTTTTCATAATTTCATTCTTATATCTTTTAAAATCCAATTCTATAAGTACATCAATTAAGTATTTTTTATCTCAAAGAAAGAACTTTATAGAGAATCCATTTTTTGGATATTACATTATAATCAAGATTAAAACTGATTTTATAAACATTCAATAGAGCATTGAAAAGAATTACAAGAGTATAAAATCTTACCTCGGACACAAGTCTGTACACATAGACTGGTTTRGTTTGTCCAAATCTGTAAACTCTGAAGATTGACTGGACATCATGTGAAGGATTCCAGGACACATCAAAAACTACAACTCTATTTGCAGCCACCAGATTGATTCCTAGACCACCAGCCTTAGTGGATATCAGAAACAGCCGAGCTCTACAAAACCATGATTAACACATATAAGTATAGCCTGTGTTACATCCGGAATTTCTATCTAATTATTATCTAAAAATAGAAATTCTGAATGTAACACAGGCTAATATAAGTATGGATTCTTTTGAAATGAAACATGTTTAGATCAGGCTAATTTTGCAACATTTTGAAAAATGAACAAGAAAACATCACATGCTATGGCAGTACTTGCCTTGTGGATAGAGAATAATAACTTTAGTTAATTATTAGTTACCCTCTACTGTATAGTCCTTCATGTGGCTGGTTGTAAAATGTGATAAGTGAAGTATTTCCATACTCATTCCCAGTCTCACTTTGCATTACAAAAAGTCCAATTATTTATGATTATGATTATTTATAAAAAAATTGTTAGATAAAACTTGATGTGTAGCAGGCTTATTTAGTTGAAACTTTCCCTAGCAGCACTTGGCTTACTGAGGCACATTTTACAAAGAAAAAAAAAAAACGAAATTTATTTATCCTAGAATAATTATAAGTGAAATAACACTTTCCAAAATTGAGGAACCTTTGAAAGTTTTGCCTCCATGCATGCTAGTCAGGTCTTGCTAGTYTAAGTCATTACTGACTGAGCTAATTTAATCTAGAAAAGCATTGTCAAACTCACGTTTTATTGTCAACGTCATTGAAGATGTCAGCCCATCTTTGCCGTAACTGGACACTGGTCGACCCATCCATACGGAAATAGTCACATCCACGGCACCAGTTTTCACGGTCACCACCCACTTCTCCTCCACCAAGAGCTCTTTCTATTAAGTCTAAAGTCACCAGACTTTGACTGAACACAAGAACTTTTTCCTCCACAGCTTCAGCATCAGCTAGAATCTCTAAGAGAAGGGCCATTTTGCCACTAAGCTCCACATTGTACTCATCTTCTGGAGTAAGGAACTCATCATACCTACAAAGAATGACATAATTTTTAAAGGCACTTAGCACTGAATTGAGCAATAATTGTTGTCAGGTTCAAAACCATCCTGTAAAAATGTATAGTATAGTGTGTGAAACAAAGTGTTTTACAGTTAGAGTGCAGTGAATAATGCATGTGTACTGCAGGGTAAAAATTATACATGGCCACTCAATAGAAAATGTCTGGTCAAAAGTTAACRGTATTGCTGGTAAAATCTTTTTGTGAACAATCACTAAAACTTAAGCTTTACYGCAAACCAATGTGCTGTTACTATCTGCTCTGAGCTACAAGCATGCAAATTACACACTGAATGAGAAAAACTAATTAAAGAGAAAATTAATGGCCTTCATTAAAGCTGTAAAGCTCTGAATCTTATTTTTTGGCTACCTTAAGAGTTGAAATCAACTCTAAGGCATAACATGAAGGAAGAACAGACGAGACGTCGAAGTGAATATAAAAATTGCGATACATACCATTCCTTTTCTTCTTGTACTTCTTCCTTGAATGTGTTCCCAGACCTCAGGTTACTTTCTCCATCAGCATTTGCACTGCCATTTTGTTGCTTCTCATCGTCATCAATTTTGATAGGTCCATTGCTTCGTGTCAAACGCCGTGAGGGTTGAGGCATTACTTCTTCATCACTTGTATTATTGCCAGACTCTTCGTCTGAGCTTGACTTTAATTCAAATACCTCACCATTTTTCTTTTTGTCTTTGTTCTTGGGCAAAGAGTCATCACTTTTTAATGATATTTCGTCTGCGCTGGAAGAACCACTTTCACTCTCTTCCTCCTCATCTGTATGGACGACAAAGCCATCTAAGCTGTTGTCTGAGTCGCTGTAAGGCGCACGCAGGGAACGGCGTATAGCTTCAAGCTTCAGACACCATGGATGGGTCCATATCCTCATCAAAGCTTGGTAGTCTGAGAACAATGATGCACCTGTGGATACAAAAATAAAATGTTATCACAGAGAATGAATGAATAAACCATTATCTATTATAATGCTAAGGGTGGTCCCATCAGTTGCATATCCTTCAAATACTCATTAATTATTCACGAGGTATCTAGCCAATCCTTGTTCGTAATTCATACCACGTGCAGTAACTGGAAATCGGAGGAAGTTACTAGGCGTACTGAATTAATTTTGTTCCAGTTACTCCGTACTGAATTAATTTTGTTCCAATTTCTCCAAGCTGATTTAATTTCTCAGATAATTTCAAAGCCAAGTTATTGAAGTTCTATTAAACAAGTAGAAATAGTAAACTAAGTTTAGAATTTAGTGAAAAAAATCTATGATAAATTTCATCTTGAGATTCGAACTCCCAACCTTCTGATCTATGCCCTCCGCCTTAAACCATTACACCACTCACTATCCGATGAAAAATCTCGGAAGATAAAATRAYTTTAARTGTTATGAATAAGTTCATTAGGATTAAAATGAATAGCAGGCAGGGAATTTGAATAGCTTTTGTTTCAAATGTCCAAATGGGGATTGAAGAACAATAAATAGTGCTCAATGATGTAAATATGAAATCCTGCATGAAGGAGCAAATATAACCAATATATTCCTATAGACTTTTAATATTTTTCCGCCCTTTTCTCCTCCCGAATAATTAATGAGGATTTGAAGTCGTTCCAAGTCCTCCAATTCGGACTGGACATGATTTCAAGTCCTCGCAATTAGTTCCAGTCCTCGGCTGYGCCTCGGACTGGAACTAATTGCGCGGACTTGAAATCCCGTCCAGTCCTCATTGTCGGACTTGAAACATTACATCTATCAATCCTAACTTCAATCCTTACAGCGACTAAGAGATAAGTTTACTAGCATTAGCCTGGTGTGACTGTACAAACTGGTCTCTAATGTCAGAAACAATCACAGATAAAAAAAATATTGAATTTCCACAAAATAAAAGATAATTTAAAACTTAATGACCAGAGTGTTGATGCAGCCAAAGGCTGAGAGCAATGCAAATGTAATGTGTACTTAGTATAAGAGGAATGTGGGAGCTACAGGTGAATAATTGAAGCACTATATACTACTTGTATATTTTTTGCTATCAAAGTACTGTACCAACTCAGTGCTAAAAAAATGCCAGTGAGTATGCCAACAATTTTGCACTAAAATATTGTAGAAAGATGGTGTTTTCATATATTATGTTTGAATTGTTTTATTACCATTACCTTTACCATTTATTAGGCACATGAAGGGGATTATTCCTAATAGCGACACTGGTGAAAAACGCACTGCGCATGTCCACAGATTTCCCGCCAGTGGGCGCTCGCGTCTTGAAATCTGTAAACAGAGTGCCTGGCGATTTACAGCGACAACACAGAAAACACTACGAAAAACCTCATTTTCTCAAAATAGAAATGACAAGATAAAAATAGAAACTACATACTAAAAGGACCTATCATGAACAATGATTGATGGAAATATGAATCTTATATATCGGTGAACGAGCTTATAAATTGTAAAAAACTTTCACAAAAATCGCTTTACAAAGGAAATTAGGCAGATTTCAGCGGGAACAGTGGACATGCGCAGTGCGTTTTTCACCAGTGTCCCTAATAGCTAAATCTATCAATTAACAAATGAATTTTTACTATGTCATCATTACCTCGTCCTGAAAAGGAACCTTCAATCTGTCCCTCTGGATAGACAAATGTGTTCAGATAATGTGCATAAAGCTTCCTTTGTACTTCAGACAATCTGATTTTAATCACATACTCATGCTTTGGAGGCAGGAAAGGAGTTAAAACAGAGTAGTCTCGTCGCTGTAGAAACAAACAAATTATTATAGACTGAGAGATTTAGATTTCAGGTTTATGTAGCTAAAGCCAAAAGTTAAATTGTCATTCAAGTTTTGTTTTGAAAATTTAACACAAATCTAAATGCTTTAAAATGAATGGATATAGTGATGAGCTCATGCACAAGAAGAGAAAAAATTTCTAAAAATTTTTTAATTATACAGTACAAACAACTGAAAGACCAGGCCATTGTTAAAGCAAAACACTAAACTGATCACAGTACATTTGGAGTTTCCAGAAAAAAAAAAAACTTTCTAATATGATTTGGAATTAATCACAAATTATTATAATAGACTTACAATRTAGATTCCTGTTTACAGCAAATGTTAAATTGGCTTAATAAGCTATTTCTAATTTTTRTTTAATTTTCCCTCATTGAATATTAATTATAATTAAAGATTTTGAGTCTTGATTATATTAAAAAGCATTACCTGGACACAAGCTTCCAGTAATTTGTACAGCACATGACAGCTTTGTTTCATAATGCGTACATCTAATGGATTGGAGTCAACACACTGTCCATTCATAATGGGATTGCCAAATAAATTCATGAACTCCTTTCTTGTACCAAGTAAATTGGGTTTTACAAAGCTCACCATGCAGTGATCTAAAAGTATAAAAACTTTTTATTTAATACCAAACTAAGGTAAAAGTTATTTCAAATCTCTTGCAAACAACTGAAACTGCTAAAAGGAGTGTTTTTGAGCTGCATTTAGTCCATCACCAATGTCCTTATAGAATTGGTAAATTTACRGTGAAAACTGAACAGCAGCCCTTGTTGTATCATGTCACACATGATACAGAAAATGCAAACTCCTGTTTTGCCTGTCTGAGTAAAGGCTATTGAATACAGGAAAACAAAAAAGACTCATTCCTCCTTTAGCATTGGCAAAAGCATACCAAGAACACTTACTCTCACTGACAGTTTCTTTTTCTTTAAATCATTGAAAGYATTTACTCTCAATAAAGGAATCTTAGGAAACTTTGACACAACACAGTTTTGAAGATAATGGACAACTAAACATTGTACATGTATTGTCCCGAATTCTGATAATGACTAAAGGACTTCTGGCAGCCTGTATTTCACGGGTTCCTTCATCTGCCAATACTTACATTCGATGAGGTTATTCTGCAAAGGTGTACCGGTAAGGACAATGCGCCGTCTGGTCTTGATGGAGTTGACAGCCTTACTGATAGCTGATTGGTCATTACGTAGAATATGACCTTCATCACACACAACCAAGTCTGGACCTGATGAATCAAAGCACAATGTCAGACAAGAGCATCAGTGGTTAATAAATAAAATAGCTGTTAGTGATCATAATATTCCTTGAATAGCAATGATTACCATGTACATTATATTCTTTATGTGTATTAAATAGAAATTTAAAGTATACMCTTGATTTTAACTTTCTTAAATTGTCTATCAACTAAGTTGTTAACAATCATACAAATGTAGCAAGTTTAAAGAGTAAGGAACCATACTGGGCAGTTCGAATCACTTTTATATGGAAGGATGTTAGCTGAAGTACAAGGACAACACAATGGAAATTTCTGAAGTTTTCTGCAACTTTGAATGGAAGTTCTGATTTTGACTTTCAAAGGATCACAATACAGTGAACAATCAACTTCTGTGCATTTTTGAAACTGCTATATCTACATGTATCTATGCCCCCCTTCACTAGTCCAATTATAGATTTGCTAACCTGGRTCGACAAGAGCTTCCTTGAAGATTTTCTTCTGGTGTTTGCTGCGAACTCTTGAACACTGAGATAAGTTCCGGTATGCGTCATAACCAACAATCAAAATGCCACCATATCGCTGCCACTGCTTCAACATATCAGCACGGTGCCAGTTATTGTGGCCAGCTTCCTTTAGTACAAATACCTGCAATCATAGCAAATATTATTAACAAAGGTCTATTTGATTTTTTATTTTATGCAGTCAAATAGGCAATACATGTAACTATGCAGCAATCCCATTTTGTGCGGCAAAGCATGTTGGGAATTGTAGTTTGATCGCATTTTGTCAAAAATTTTGTTTGCTAAAACAGTCCATCTAAACTGTTTGTATATTTCTTCTTTGCAAAAATAGAACAGGTTTTGTTGTTTAACTACAACAAAGAAAAGGCTYTTTAGGGGCATTTTTAGAGGCTATAAAACGTGTGAGGACTACGACTACCATCATGCTTTGCTGTACAAAATGCGGTCTCTGCACATAGATATGACATAGTCTATTGATTGGACTCAAAGTTAAAACACCAGGGAAAGACATCATACTGCTCACTTATAATTCATAGTTTTTACACTTGTCTAAAACAAATTAAAATGATTTAACTTACATCCATTCTTTCATCGACATTCAGCCACTTGTCAAACTCTACTTGCCAGTTAAGGACSGTGTTTAATGGAGCGATAATCAATGTTGTTTTGAAGTCAAAACTTTCATGCTTATGCAAAGTGTGGATTAAAGACACAACCTAAAATAAAGATATTGTTAATCACAGTTCAAACATTAAGAATAGTTTTATTAATAAGTAAGTCCAAAGTGAGCTTTGAATGTACCTGAAGTGTCTTGCCAAGACCCATGCAGTGTGCAAGAATACATCCACCACCTTTGTCGCCTTTCTTGTATGCTTCAATTGAGTCAATTACGTTATTATACATGAACTGAATGCCTTTGGATTGATGGGGYTTGAGATGTTGAACAAGRTCACTTTGGATTTCCACTAAGGGCTCCTTTGTTTCTTTRTCTTTCTCCAGGACAACTGTATTCAAGTGCCAACTTTCTTTAGGCATTTCATCATCCTCTGCAGTCCTTGTTCTTTCTAATAATCTCTTYCTTCTTTCTTCTTCAAGACGCCTTGCCTTTAGAGTTTCTTCTCCAAGTTTATCRTCTGTRAGAATTTTACGGATYTTTTTTCGCCCTTTAGAGGGTGATTTATCTTCTTTATCGTCGTCAGTGGATTCATCGTCTGATTTATTCTTTACTCTACGCCGTTTCTTCTTCTGCGCAGGCTTTTTACCCTTCTGTTTTTTCTTTTGTTTGCCTTTCTTTGACTTTGTCTTTTCTTCCGCCTCAGAATCAGATGATTCCTCATTGTCACTAACTTCACTTTCATCAGAATCTAACATATTTTTCTTTTGTCTTCCCTTCCTTCCTTTTTTTATTGTTTTCTTTTGTCTTTTGTTTTGTGCTCTTTTGCTAGTTTTTGCAGTCTCCTCTGATGAATCTGATTCAATCTGCTTTCTTTTCCTTGTCCTTTTCGCCATTCCTTCATCTTCAGACGAGTCTTCTGAGGTTTCTTGTGAGTCACTGCTTGACTCAACTGGCCTTGGACGCTTTCTTGTTTGCTTCTGCACTCCTCTACTTCGTTGTGTTTTAGGGCTAATATCAGAGTCACTTTCACTTGATTCCTCATCTGATTCTGATGATTCTTCTAAACTGTATTCCTCTGGTTCTGACTTCACTTTTTTACTAGTATCTGAATCTGAACTCTGTTCTATGCTTTTCTTTTTATTTGAAGCAGCCTTCTTGGAAACTTTTTTAGTTTCAAAGTCTGAATCGGAAGACAAATCTGCCTTCTTCTTTTTGTCCAATTTATTTTTAATTGAGCTTAAATTAGCATCACTATCAAAATCATCAGAACACGAATCCTTATTTGAATCTTTTTTGTTTTTTGCTTTTGATTCAGTAGATTTTTTATTAACTTTCCCTCTTGACTTTTTTATTCTAGAATCTGAAGAATCTGAGGTGGTACTTTTTTCACTTTTCATAGTTTTTACTTCTGGTTTTTTGCCCTTGGACTTTTCCACCACATTGCTTTTCTGTGACTTTTTCACCTCTTTTGGTTGTTCTTTACTTATTTTTTCTTGTTCTTTATTATCATTTTCATCACTAGAATCAACTACTACTATAGTTTTAGGTGGTGGAGTTTTCTTTTTAATATCTCTTCTGATCATAAGTTTGTTTGCTCTGTCTTTGCTCTTTCTTGACGGTCTTCTTCCAGAAGAAGAATCTGAAGAGTCCTGCTCATCAGTCAAGTTCTCCTCTTTGACTTTATCAGCAATTGTTTTTAATTTATTTTTTGTTTTATTTTTGTTATTTCGTTCTTCATCACTTTSTTGTGGAGTGCTTTTGGGTGATTCTACAGTTTTTGGTTTGATTTCTATCCGTTTTATTCCACTACGTGTTACTCTAACTTCTTCTTCCGTTTCATTATCTTCTTCTGCTACTTCTTCTGATAATTCTTTCTCCGTGGGYTCTCCATTCTGAGATTCCTTAGATTTTTCTTTATTTACCTTCAAAACCGTTGTTGCTTCTTCACTTGATTCATTGTCGACGCTTTTGCTTCTTCCTGTTATAATTTCCTTTGCTTTTTCTTGCTCTTGYTTAGCTTGTTCTTTTCGTTGACTTCTGGTTTTGGGTTTGTCAGGYTGTTCTGAAGTTTCTTCCCCTTCAGAAATCAAGTTTACTTCTTCATCATTTTTGTTGCATTTTACTTCTTGCTTTTCTTCCTCCATTGTACCTACTTTATCAGGCTCTTTGGTATCCTTTTTTTCACTGTTCTTATCTTTACTCCCACTTCTGAGAGACCTTCTCCGTGAAGTTTGACTATCGCTGTCTGGGCGATCTTCCCCTTCCATGYCATCGCCTTGCTTTTTATTTACACCCTTTGTGCTTTCATTTTCAGTATTGCTTTTGCTGTCCTCATCATTGTCCTTATCAGATGCTTCATGTYCTTCATCTTCAATCTTACTGAATAATTCAGGAGGCAACTCAGCATCTTTTCCGAATGTCTTCTTWGTTGGACTCTCTCCAGATGAAGACAACTCCTCRGCCTTTATTCCTTCRCTCAAGCAATTCAACCTGTTTCTTCTCTCTGAAGTAGTAGGTCCAATTACCACAGATGTTTGCTGACCTTTTTTGCTTTTAAAGTGWGCTTTCTGAGCTTTGATGTTTTCTAAGGCTTGCATAACTTGATCACATTTCTTTCGGAGACGTTGGATGTGTTTAATAGGCTTGTCCTTTTGACAAACAATGCAAAACCATTTGTAGTCATCAGGTGCRTTGAGGAGGTTCTTGAGGTATGTTTTTCCACAGTTTCTTTGAATACAAGGTTTACAGTAGACTTTCTCACAGTGATCACAACAGATAAGATCACCACCATCACCACACCAGCGACACTGTTCTTCTATGCCATACTCATCACGAGTGAATGGGCCAGAGTTGTAGTACTGGTTGCATTTCTAAACACATAAAACTTGTTCATAAATTCTAAGCTTTCTGACAGTTTATTTAGAATTTTRTTATTGTAGTCAGTGCAAGCTTATGATCCACTTATAGGGGTTTCAATGATRGGAATATACCAGGGTYGGGTTGTTCAAAGCCMAATTAGCRCTAATCCTGGGTTCACTCTTAGAAAACCTATGGAGTTAACCCTGGATTTGAACAACCCGTCCCAGCAGTATAGAACTGCCTATTTTACCTCTTGTCTTACTGAATAATATGTGACTGCAAATTGTTTGGGACAYAGATACCTACTTAAATCACTCAGATGCTTATTTTAAAAGATAATGAAACCCCTGRACTAAAATATCCATTTCATTACTTACATGTATTGTATTATTATTATTTTGGTGTATATCTATATTACAGTATACATTAAGTAATATAAAAGTTTTAAAAGTTTCAAGGAAKTACATGTATAGGGCATTATCAGCCCTGGTTACAACAGTTTGTTTAAAGCTTACCTTACACACCAAGACATTCAATACAGGGTGGCGCAGTATTGTACCATGGGAAGGGTTAATGTTCCTACCACAAGCAGTGCACATAACCCTCCTTGGAAGCCCTTAAAAAGAAATGATTTATTATGTAAATTCAAAAGTATCATTCATGTACAGTACTGCCCGGAATCACATATACATGTACCTTTCTGCACTAAACAATTCGCAAGCTGATTGCAATCACAGCTCAGAAATCTAGGATAGGAAGTCATGGAAGTTTGCTATTTGCTTTTGCATACAAAAGAGAGTGCAAACAAAAAGTGCTCATATATTTGTTCAAACAATTTTCACAAACAATATAGAATATGTGATTCCAATTGGTACTGTGAAACTGCCATAAAATAATTCTCAATAATTCTATTCTACTGCTGATTGAATCTAATGACTTTATTGGCCCTTGATGTCATTAGGCATATGTGATAGATCCCAATCAGGGTAGAAATAAAAAAAGCTAAAAAATGTTTCTTTTACCATCTTCATCCAGAGATTCGTCTGACTCATATGTTTTCTTTTTCTTCTTCTTTTTCTTCTTCTCTTTRCTTGTTTCTTCTTCCTCTTCCTGGTGACTGTCCTGCCCACCTTCTAACAGATCTCCAAGRTAATCATCGGATGGACCCGCCCTTACTTGTATTTCATCGGCTGGTAAAAATAAAACAGTCGTGTCTCCAGTGTCATCAAAAGTTGAAGTGTCTCCATTTGGAATGTCTTCAAAGATGGTTTCAGGCAACTGGCTGTCTTTCTCTTCGACTTGATTCAGAGTTCCTTCAACTGGGGCTTCTGTTGTGTCAGTGRTGTCATTATCGTCATCATCATCTTCAATTCTGTATCTAACTATCTTTTTAGATTTTCTGTTAGAATAAAACMAAATATCATATATCATTATTAAATTATACATGTAAACTTCTAGAGCTGTACTTTATGAACACACATTTCCACAGGAATCCCAATCTAGGTGTTTGTGTTGCCATTATTTCAAAAAATTGCTAAAAAACACATAAAGGGCCATTCATAATTTACATGGGGAGGGGGAAGGGGGGGGGGGGGGGGGGGGGGGGGGGGGGGGGGGGGGTTTGCACAACATGCAAAATTTCTGTCTGGCCCAGCCCCTGGAGTATAACATTTGTTTTGTGACCCACCCCCAGTCAGGTCAGGGTGCATGGAAAAGTGCAAAAAGTCACATTTCGCAGGTACGGTGTATGCCTAAATCCCTTTTGGACTTATTTATCCTCAGTTCTTTGTGAACGATGAAAAAACATATGATATGTTACTCCCCAAGTGGTTTTTGACACTCTTACCTTTTGGATCTTTTTCTCTCAACATCATGGTTTTCATTGCTTTTTTCACCTTCTTTTACATCACTTTTCTCCTGAAAAATAATTTTATTTTAATAACATGAATAGCTTATTAAGTTAATATTTAACGCTATCATCTTGTATTTTGTAGCTTWAAATTATAAGACAATTTTATAATTTCTCAATAGCTTTCTTGTGCAGCACTAAGTTGAATCTACATGATAGTTTCAAAACAATCGAATCACAATGACACAGTTTTCGAGAAATCTAGCGTGACCGTGTAGGTAACATGTCGGTGAATGCTCGCCAAGTGTAGTTAGTAACGCCATGTGAATGATTAAATAGAATTCCTGTCAGAAAGATTATAAAATATCTAAGACCCTATAGGTCAAGGAGAAAGAGTAACGATTAATTTGACGCCATGAGGAACGAGTAAACGTTCATCAACAAAGACAGAAGAAAGACAAAGAYGACTGTCATTGGCGGGTTTTAATTTGCCGCCCTTCGAACAAAACGTAACACACGTCAAACAAACATGGATGAATGACTGGGTCCTATCAGGTCTTACTGTGATCAACGGCTCATTTTGASTATCGATGGCTTCTTGAGACGGATGGATCTTTAGTTTGGAGATAATCGAGTCGAGCTTTCTTCTGTCAAAGAGAATCAAACAAGAGAAGAATAAAATCGTTAGCATGGCTGTCAAATTGACCACTACGGCACGTCTCGTGGAGTGTTTCGATTAAAAACACTTACCCTTTCGACTTTGATGCTCTCGTCTCCGCCATGTTGACGTTTCAAGCCCGAAAATTTGCAACTTGGATGTCAAAAACTGATTTTTTTACGCCGACTTCATCTTTTTCACCCCGATTTTTGATGGTTTTACGCGGTTAGAAAAAAATGTGACTGCGCATGCGCAGCAGAATGTCCCGGATGTGGGATCACCTGAGGGATCAATATCGGATTAATATTATCCTAATAATATTAATAAAACTTATGACCTATGGGTGTGTGTTAACTATCATTCTTGTGTGCATGTTTTATAAATGCTATAATCAATATTACCATGTAATCCTCAAATATTTGACAAATGTGATATTTAAAAAACCCTGATTTATCAATGCATAATTAGTCTAAATGTTGGATAATTATAATTGTTACTTTAGATAATAAAATGCAATTTTTATTCTTTATATTTTTTTTTGTATGTGTCATTCTGTCAGAATAATTATATTATTTTGCAATTAAATAATTGTACAACAATTTTCCTTTAAAAACATCAAATATAATTTATTCAGTTATTTGTAAGCTTATTTACCCATTAATAATTATTTATTAAATGCTTTGAAATGTGTAATACAACATCATGTCAAAATGAGCAACTCACATTTTTTATACACTTATTATTTTTTCAGTCAATATATTTATAAAAAATAATTATGTTTGAATTTAGAGAAGTGAAAAAAGCCATTATTGAGTGATTTGCTTATATTCCTACAACATGCGAGGAAGTGAGGGTAGAAACAGATGGAACATCTACATGATACCCATTTTTTCAAGTGCAGATGCAAGCAAATTTCAATAAAAACAAATATTTCAGTGATGAAATTCACTTAAAACATTGATCTGAATAATACTAAGCTAACTTGAAGTTTAAGAGCAACACAATGCGCTGCTGCCTTGGAGTGCAATATTCATGYAATCTTGAGTTTCTATAGATAACGACTTGCAAACATCTTTCCAGAAATTTACACCAAGWTTTTTAGCAATTTCRTTCACCAATGGCAATTTATCATAAGCAACCATGCTAGATTTTAGCATTTTATAACAACAATCTTGAATGTGTGCTGGTCCACCCATAAGATTTACAAAATGCTGAACAAASTCCTCAAAAGTAGTACCATGATCACCATTTACAAAGACACCATCTGAACATCTGAAGAAAAAAATTAAAATATCTGGAATTAAAATTAATACACCTAGTACATTTTAGTTCAATTTAGCTCAATTATTTTTACCTCCATATGTAAACTTGTTTATCGTATTGTGACATTCTTTCTTGATCTGACAGCTGGTATGTTAACACCAGCATCATCCTATTGCCCCACGATATCAGACTGTCTAAATACAGCTTGAATATATCTTCATATTTGAAGGAAAKTTTACTCAGGTATGATGCTGAAAGATGCCAAAATGGATGATATTTCTTGATTTCTAGATCATCTATATGTAGGAGAGGAAAGTATAGTTAAAAACTCACCACCTACTCCTCTAATTTTGAGTYAGTCAAGGGAATTAAACAGCTGTCTACTTTTAAAATTTAAAAGGGTGCAAAGCATACATCAAGAATTAATGAAAATGCCCCAAGCAGACAAATAAAAAATKTGTGATAACTCAGTAAAAGTGATACATTTAGACCAATGAAGATAAATAATWATTATTTTTTCTGTCAATGCATGCTTGGGCAAACACATGAATATGGATGAGAGTAAAACAAGTGCTCTATTCTTCTTCAGTCACCCCCTGGGGGTTTACTATGTCAATGGTTTTATCAAATGTTGGTTTTAATCTCTCTTCCAAATGGCTGAAATGGGATAGAGATGGTAAAAGCCAGCTTAATGATGCCTCCTAGTACGTAGATAATGGTCATATGTGATCAAAAACCTGKGCCAGGTTGCTCAAAGCCTGACTAGCATTAATCCAGGGTTAACTCCATAGGTTTTTTTTAAAAGTGTGAGGATTAGCATGAATCCAGCTTTGAACAACCTGGCCCCGGAGTTGTATTTTATTTAAAGAGCATAGTTGCAATGTTACCTAGCAACCACTTTAGGATAATCCTTTGTGTCATCTTAGCCCTTGATAGAGACTGGCAGTCATCAGGAAAATATAATAAACAAGATGCTATTGTATCCATTCCCTGGTCTTGAGTTGATATGATGTCTAGTTTATTGCTTATGCAATGTTGATCTTTTGATCCTATAATCAGACATGAAGTGGATTTAGTTAATAGATAATTTGATTCAGTGAATATAATGTTAATTTTAAAGATGAAACAAAACATATGAAATTTAGCAATTTATTTAAGCTTGCTCATTGTTATTTTGCAAATACATATAAATTAATTAACTGCCATATATAGCCAAATACAGCCTTTTGCAAAAATTATGAGAATTGTCTAAATATCTAAATATCATAATATCCATATCCATATATTGTCCGGAACACACGGGTTTGCTAGAATAATTCATTGTTGACATCGAGAAAATGTTCAGAACTACGGATAAGTCTGTCGCCAAAAAAAACCTAAACTACAAAGACAAGGGACTAAGGGCATCGCGCGGGATTACCCATCATGCACTCGACATTATGATATTTAGATATTTCAACAATTCTCATAATTTTTGCAAAAGGCTGTACATGAAGCTTCTATGTTATATACTGTATAACCAATGCATCAGATATGTTTGGGACAAAACATAGTGTTTCTTTTTTTGTTTTCTCTWGAAACTGATACCACAATGCATTGCAAATCAAGTGACATAAAAGCTTCAGGGATCATGGTGAGAAAAGGACTTTTAAAATATAAAAAAAAACAGTGGAAAGCATTTGTCAAGAATCCATCTTGAATTCCATGCGATACCAATAGTGAACTCAAGTTTACAACCATATTTGGTAAYCCCATATTGGCAGCCACATACTGGTACTCTTCATTAAGGAGTGTATTGCTGCTCTAAGCCTTATGATCATGAACACAAGATTCAACACTTCGTTACCTGAATAATCCAATACATGCTGAACATATTTAAACAAAAGTTCTCCTGTTGAATCTCGCGAGATGCTTTGAGTGCAAGCATCAAGAGTATCAGTTCTTTGCTCAGTAAATATTTCTTGCTTCTCAGTTTTGTGATTACACTGTATGGTATCATTAGTTAATTTATCTCTCATCTCTGAAAGAAGTTTTAAAGTCCCTTTGTGTTTCATCAATAGAGCAATATCTTCTTGGAGAGTTTCCAAGTGATTTCTGTCATTTTCTGAGCCAATAGTTATTCCATATAATTTAAGGACATTTCTGAATTGAGAGTTGGTAAGGTATGGGTTTTGCAGAAGACAATTTCTAAGAATATTCTTTGAGTTTTCAAGCTGAGCAAATGATAAATGAACATTGCCAAGATAAACATTTGTAGTCTTGTTGAAGTTGTTGATGTATTTATCCAGCTTGTCTGCCAGCCCTGGCTTGGACTTGAGCTTATTATAGACCTAATASAGGATAAAATTATTAAACTTTTGTATTTAAACAATTTAATTGTCCCTTAGTCTACTTTTCACCCTACATGTTCAGGAATCCTGATCAAATGAAAATAGAGATGCAGAAGACAGTTTCTCCTTTTTGAAAAATTCGCCCTTCTTTGGGGCCAGCAAAATAAGGCATTAGTAGATATTGCCACTGTTATTCCCTGTCGCCTTTGGTGTGATTTCCATAGGCCCCTGGTTTCAGAGGCTTGATTTTACACAGATGTTTTTTGTTGTAAGTTGTAGTAATGTTGGGGCAGAGCCTTAGTTTATCAAATAAGCTTACAAGKGAGATATGTAAAATCATGCATCTGGAACTGAGAAACGGGGAGTAAGTCTTATAAAAGAATGACATATTGAAAGAATGAAAGAGAAAGAAAGAAAATATCAAAGTGGGATGTTTGTAAGAGAAAATGTTCTTTGGTGAATACCATTAACTTTATTTAAGACTTATGACTGTCAAATATAGCAGTCTCCCGAGCAGTCGCTTTCCAGTTTGTTTCATAAGTTAAGTTAACTAAAGCTTACCAGAAGTTACCTGTTCAAAATATTGGGCCCATTTGAAAGCTCTTTGAAAAGTGTCTTCGTCCCAACCCTGYACAGCTTCTCCCCTGGCCATACAAAGAACATCAACAAATGCATGAGTGTTTTTCACAACTTCTTCCATTGCAGATTTGTATTACTAATGAGGACAAATACATATAAACGTACAACCTCTACAACCCATGTCCATGCAAAGTGAAATGGCGCCGTATGACCGACGATTGGTGGATAAATTACACAGGAATCCCATTGTCAACGGGATCAATGTCCAATTACTGCACAGGCAACCCAAGCTAAGCATTTGACTAGTAGATTTAGCGATATATGCATGTAAATATGCATTTTTTGAAAGACAAAATGAGAAAAAAATATGTCTTACCTTTTGATGTGGTTTTAGTTACGAATTGGGACGTAATTTGCCGTTTTTCTTTGATATCCCCCCCTCTATACTTAGAAATGGAAATATAGATAAAATGGTGCTGGTGGTTTTGGTGTTTTTTTCCACTTCAGGATATTCAGAAAACTGCTCTATAATTGTGCAGACTATGTTACCAAGGCAGAACCTTCAGGGTATCTGAGAACTGCTTAATACTGGCTATTCTTAAAATTCCAGTACAGGCATGAATAGCAATAAATCTATGTGTAAATTGATTATTGTTTTCCATCCTATTTGCACCTTTACTGGAAATCTAAGAATAGTCAACTACACAGTTTTGCACTTATGCAATGGTGCACCTCCAAGTTGTTCAAAGCCCAATTAGSGCTAGTCCTGGGTTAACTCTTAGAAAAACTATGGAGTTACATTTGTAACCCTGGATTAACGCTAATCAGGCTTTGAACAGTGTATGTCCCACAGATTGACCTAGGTAATGTATTGTGATAAATACAACAAAGAAAACACCAGATTTACTAACAGATTTGTTTTTATTGATGAAGAAATACATGGAGTACACTTCAATGATGCCCCCCTCTTTGAGATGTTGGCAATACAAAAAATTATAATTTTTAATAAACATGCACCTAGGAGTTATGATAACTATGATATTTACAGAGTGCATTCACAATATCTGAGAAARTTTACAAACAAAATGTGCAAAATGGTACAAAAMAYTYTGCATTTTGAATACATGGTRGAAYTTTGTTACAAAGAGTTTCAAAGATACAATGAATGCACCCTGACAATGAGAACAATACTTTCACACATTAAACACTATACTTATACCATCACAACACTAAAAAAAAGTAAAATGTTSTCTTTCTTTGACAGTAAAATAATAGCTAAACAATTCATTATAAGAACACATGGTTGAATGGACTTCAAGACCATTTTAGTACCCACCAAACTAGGGTTGATTAAATTTGAAATAGGAACACAAAAAAGACAATTTTTTTCACTTTTCTCAACATTAATATTCAGAATGCTACAATCATGATAGTCTATAGTTTGGTAMATACTAAATAGTACTATACAATGTTCTTCACATTTCTCATTAAAAACTAAGTTGTCTGAGTTTTTTTTTCAAAGTTGACAGGGAGATTGAATGAAGTTTTAGTATGACTGGTCAAATCGTCAATATTACATTTAATCAAACAAAACTGGACAATAACTCACTATTAAATAAACTTTTCTGTTCACWTTTTTGTACTAATCTAATATATTTAAGTTGTGATGGTATAATAGTGCATGTAATGGTTTTAATATTAGGGTTAGAGAGTTTCTGCAATGCTTTTGATATCCGAGCTCAACTTCTCACGCTTATTCTTGTTGTTAGTTTCATTTTCAACGTATGTTGCCTTGTTCATGCGCCCATTCACAACTTTCTCTGCCATWGCAATGGCTTGGTCAAGCAGCTGCTTACGTTCATGTTCCTTGCGTTGGATTTCACCAATCTGCAAGACAAACTTGAGTTTGATTTTTGTTCACATTAAAAGTTTACAAATGCAGAATTGGGGCCATCATTTTTTGTAACTAATCAATGTTTTTTTTGAATTTTCCAGATAGATTTCTTAGTAGTGCCATAGGCCTTTTCTGAAACAGCAATAAGCATTGTGTTGTGTTCTAGATCCAGTACACATTGTTTCTTCATGCGACCAAACATGGTGCTTTGAGGCTACATTATAGTGGACCACAATGCATTGTATTTCAGAAAAGGTTTACGTTTCAAAACCACATCTAGGTAAACAATCAAGTTAAATTCATAAAAACTTATCAAATTCATTAATAATTCATAAGGTAAACACAATGGAAAATCATTGCCGTGACCGCATCTTTATATGAGCAAGAGATTTGTCCTGATTTGCATACGACTTTAACTTCGATTTTCTCTTACAAATGATATTTTATCCTGCATTTTTTTTTTTTTTTCGAAATATGCTTTACCTTATGTTGGAATTTGATAAGCAATATAAAATATGAGCGGGAGACCTTTATGGTTTTAAATGCCCATAAAGGTCTCTCGCTCATATTTTATATATTACTTAAAAAAATAAATTTTGCCCTTTTGTTCTAAAACTAATTTTCTGCTTGCTTCACTCAAACACTAACCTTTTCAACTGCCTCAGACTGCTCCTTTGCCAAAGCATTCTGTAGCTGAGTTATCTGGTTGCCAATTGAGCGATAATCAGTGTCTAACTTCTTTCTTGCATTAGCAAAAGTTGTAGTGTCTTTGCTAGACTTGAACTTGCTGATGGCATCCATGTACACATTGTAAAGACCACTGCGCCGATCAATAAGACGCAAAACCTCCTCTACAAGACCAGCAGCACGCATTCGTGATTCGCTAGCTTCGTCCTTTGAAGAGAAGTGATATTCAGCTACAAAACTTGAAGTCATTCTAATAAACAATGCATATGATTTTTCCCCTGGATATCCCATAATTTCCCAATAATTCAAGATGGCTGCTGCATTGGTAATAATGTCAATTGATACTGGTTTAACCTTCAGCCTTACCTTACTAATAGAGAAGTCCATACGAACATAGATGATAACAAGAACAAACAACAAATAAAAAGCACCAACRACTAACAGTGGTTCTTGAAGAAGCATGACTTTGTTGAACACATAGTGGATCTATAGAAAAAAAGTAAAAACGTTACGAAAAGGATATGGAATATTGTTGGGTATCTCTTAAATTGGATTTTCATTTCCYTTTATGGCAAGACAACAGAAAGATGCATGAGCAATGGAGCTGCAATTCACCTCAAATTCCTGAATATGTTGTTCCACGATATTCTTCTTATGTGCTACTACGACAGGTCTTCCTACTGTGTCAAGGTAGGTGTGATGGAGTTCGCGCTTGCCCTCTTGAACTGGAAATGGRGTCTTCAATTTGATGTCCCTATAAAATCAGAACCATTATTACAAAGACACCCTGGTTCCAGAGGCTTGGCTTGTATTCGGAAGTGGCGAGACGTTTCCATTTTTAAAAACTCAATTAATATATATCTCTCCRCTTTGTGGCTCAAAAACAAAAATAAGTATTAAAAAAAACACTTAACATGGAATTCTAGTATCCAAATCCTTCTCAGCTTTCCAATGGAAAATCAAAGACTCTCGATGGAGACAAGACCCAGAATAAATTTTTTTTTGAACCTATCATACCAAAGAACCATTTGTTTCTGACCAGAGACTTTGATTTTCAGTTGGGAAACTGTGAAAAGGCAACAAGAATGACCTCAAGGGCTTATTAACCAAAATGTCAGGATATAGCATTAGGGGTTTTAAAGCTACATTATGATGCATGATTTTAGTCGTTCTCTCATTACACAAAATCAACTCTACTGGAACCACTTACTTGCTTCCCTCTGGTAGAATGACTTTCATTGTCATCTGGTCAATGACAAAATCATCAAAGACATGGTCCACAAACCTCATCTTGAGAGCATAATTGTTACCTGAGGAAAGATTCCAGAATGGTTATTTTATTGCCATTAGATTAAAATCAATYTCAAAAAATATGGTCATTTCAAAATTCAAAATTCAAGTTGTATTTTTCATTGCTCATTCTCACTAGTTTTATTGAATTGATTTTGGGGGTGCATTCTCTCCTAAGTGACTTGCGTGTTATCACTTATGGCCAATAAGATACTAAAAAAAGTGAGCTTGAATTCACACTTCATACATAACATTCATACAAGTTTGCCATGAGAAGTCACACTTCAGCATCTATTTCAACCTAATGATGTTTTCTTACCAAGATTAAACAAATATTCATAGCTTGGCACATTGTATCCCATGTAGTATTGTGTTTGCCATCCACCAAACAAGGGGAATCTTGGTTTAAGTTCTAGTTCCACTGAATCGTGCTGCACAAGCATGTTACTTGTTGAAATGTTGCCAATCTCATCACGGTAGTAAACATCTGAAGCAGCTGCAGGGAGYACTGCCTTGAAAGACTTGATGGAAGTTGGTGCTGGAGTACGCTGGTAATCGTATCTTGAAAATGAACCCTAACGACAAAAAAATTTTAGTTTTTCATTGCTTGGTTGAAACATGATAAATCATTCTCACTCTCATGTCAAACAACAGACCACAGTAATAATATTTCCTTTCTTTTGTAATAATAATAAATTTACAAAAATTAAGTAAGCTTTTAATATTTTTTGTACAATTTAAGATATCATCTAAATACAGCTTTTAAAAATTGTATGCAGACAGCATTTTGGAAAATGATGCAATTTATAATCAACAGTTAGTTGAACTGATACACTGGTTTATTTCTAACCAGTAAAAACCTTATCTACAATACACTGTACATCATTGTGTGTTAGTAATGTTGGATATTATTATAGCCTATCAGAGTCAAGAATCAATGGATAACTCAATCAGAACATTGTCATAAAAAAATGTGCCTACATGTACCTTGAGTTCAGCCCCAAAATGTCTCAAATGGAAAGACTCTTCAACAGCAATATTCCCCCAATGAGATACTTCAATAACMCGCTGCATTCCAACGACTACCAAGAAAGGAGAGTTGTTTTCAAAGTGAATCTTCATAGAGCTTTGCTTAAGAGCATCAATATCATTATAAGGGCCATAGTTGATRGTGCTCTCTGAATGACTAGATGGTTTCAACTTGCTGTAAGACTCAACCACTGATGAGGATAGGGTAACTGTAGTTGTTTGTTTCTTGGTTTTGTACAGAGAGAATACRTAATGGTTTCCTGTGAAAAGTACTTGTTGTTTCTCTGACTGTCCAACCTTGGCTGGGAAAGGCTTCATTGTGCGAGTGAAAACCTCTTCAACTTGTACGTCAACAGATTTTCCAGGCCCAAGTTGTAAAGGAAGATCAACGCGAAGGACTTTGAGATCCCTGAAAATATAAGGTTAAAATGACAAAACTTTCAATGATATTTTTATCATAAAAGTGGAAAGGATACTTCTAAAACAAAGCAGAAACTTACAAGCAGAAATCACAAACTGGAAAGGATCAAATTTTAGAAACCAGTCATTTCAGTAGTACTTTGTTTAGATGCATTTAAAACATTTACTGTAGAATGATGTTAGCATATCTATACAAGCATGATTTATATCTCATTTCTATATTCTAGTCTTAATTGCACAWCATTGCTTAGCAACAAACAACATCAATGTACTGTACATCCATTTGCAACACAATGCAATATCKTTAAAAAATCTTTCTAGTGAAAAAGAATTATTGCAGATGTAATGCTATTTATAAAATCTGTTGAAACAGCACTTGAAAATTACAATTATCATATTCAAGTACATTTCCACTAAACCACATAATATATTCTTGAGTGGACAATATATGTAACTTTATAGTGCAAAGCTGCAAAATTGAAAATCTTAAAATTTCAATTAAATCTTGGAATGCTGCATATGCTACATCAAATTTTGAGGATTTTGTTCAATATCTGACTGCAGTGCTAATAGATTTATATGACAGTAAGTTAAGTTATGCAAGCTTTAAGCTTACAAAGTCATATGTATCAACCAGCTGATCTAATAAATGTGTAAACTATAAAAACCCTTTTTATTGTAGGGAGTTTTATAGCAATAAGACTTGGTGTACGTTGAAGAATACAGAATTGAATTGTATGAAATATTTACTTAGAGTTTTTGAATACAAAAGCAAGTCCTCTGTGAACTTCTTGCACACAAAGACTAAACAGACATGAGATTTGCAGACGTGGACAAGAGAGCTCCTGGCGTTCTCAGATTACTTACTTGTATGCAGAGAGAACTACTTCTTTCAACTTTAATTGAGCATCTTCATCATCGTTCTCGGGTTTAGCCTTAAAAATGAATGAATAATAATGTTATTGTTTACTATTGATTGTTGCATGCTGTAGTTGGCAGTGAAGAGTGCAACTGAATCGAAAACAACTTTGTGAATTGACATAATATTGAATACACTACAATAATAGTTCATATTCAGTAACGATCACCTTACCGTAGCTGAGATAAAGGCTACTTTGTCCGCCAACGAAGGATCCATAGCATAATGGAAGGAACCTGTTGCTTTGTCCCCGGCATTTTCAAGTGTAATAGTAGTAGAAACTTTAGCGAGCTGAGATGTAAGATCTATTTTACGAGATACTTTGCTATAAATTAAATTTTGGTTTACATCGGCGCTTGCCTGTGTTAAAAATAGAAGGAAGAAAGTCGCTAGCATTGCCGGAGGTCGAGATACCCGATTCATCCTTGGATGGAAAAAGATTCTAAAGGATGAATACGTGGAACCTCTACAATGGGTTCAAAGAGGAAAGAAAGAAGACGCGCCGCCGAATTTGAGGTCAGCGGACGATGACGCCCCTCCCCTCCCCCCTTAGAATTATTTTCCTTAAAACACAGGCAGCCCAAATATTTCATATAAAATGAATGGAATTTCGATAAAATGTTGAAGTTGATCGAGAAATAAGAGTAACAATTACCTGAAATCACACACAAACTGTAGAGTTTTAGCAAATATTTTAAAATTTCTTTGTTTTGACTGAATATATTGACAAATGGGCAGTCCACTGAAAGCGACTGGAAGTATCTGCAGGTTCGCGTTTTGTCAGAATCTACACTTAGTGACATTGACATAAATAATTCAGATGGTGTCATTTTTTCGGCTGGTTTCTTTAACGGATGTGATCACTATGAATGCTTGATCAAGATAGAAAATGGCGAATTTTACCAACAGTATTTTTGGCAAGCACTCGACCACCAACCTCTGTTAACAGATATATTTCATCATGACGAAATCCAACTTTTTGGTCTAAACTCATTCGTTTTAAAATCTAAAATGTGTGGAAATGAAGGATGTCACGATCGTGAAATCTTTGTAAAATGGCTTATCAAACATTAGAGGCTTCAGCGTCCAATGAACTGTGGTAAGTTACAAATTGAATTTCAGATTTGATAGAATATTGATCTGACTACAATAAGTGCCGTTTTGGAAAYGCGTTGTGTTTGTGATTTGTATTTGTATGCTGTGCTGTTGATTGTTTTGTCTTTGATTTTAATTGTTGTCATAAATAAAGGTTTCAATCATCAAAAAGATTTTCGACGACAATTGCTCTTTATTGCTCTTTCGCCGTGACGGCGATGATTTGTAGACCAACCATAAAAAAAACAAAAGTTTGGCCCGCGAAAAATAAATGAGGAAAAAATAAATAAAACAAATAAAACAAATGAAAAAAATATTGAATATCTTTGTTGACATCATTTTTCATTGTAGCCAGTTTATTTCATTCAACCACTTTGCAACGTATTTCATTTCAAATAACAATATTTTCTTTTCGGTTTTGTAGATGTCACATCAATTGCAAGCACTATTATTATTACGAGTGACCAGAGACTCATGAAAATGCATCTGCAAAAGTTGCATAGATGGATGCAGTTTTGCATGGTGGTCAATCTTGCTGCGTCCTTATGCGAAGGATTTAAAAATTCTCGTCATATGCAGTACAAGCCTGACAAGACTCATGAGATAAACTTGCCTTTTAAAGACAATGAAGATAAAYTACCTTCTATAAATAATAAGATTAAGGGGCAGCGGAAACATGGCGTAGAGCACGATGCAAGAATGACAGCCGATTCAGTGTATAGTGCACGGAATAAAGCAACCAAAGAATTGTACACTAACACGCCATTGGCTAAAAAGCAAGAGATTTTTGAGGAATATGACGAGCCTGTGGAAAATCATGATCRCGATTCGTTCCRTGATGGTACAACTGCAGCGCTTCATAGTAATGCAAAAAACAACTACAAGAARACAAACATAATTAACATTGACAATTTTAATCAAGTAGCGGACATTGACACGGCTGTTGGCGACGCAATTGATTCCATTTTTGGTGCAGACAATGGTTTGAAAAACACCGTKGGCGACGAGAAAGATTCCATCAAAATTCCCGCTACAGCTACGCCCACGAGCACAATAAGCACAATGCCTGCAACGAGGAGCAGAGAGGACGTCCAAAARGCACTTGATCAAAGCATTGTGCGAAACAAGAACATCGATGAAGAAATTGAAAAAATTGAAAAGGAACTTGAAAGTGTTGATGGTGAGAAAGAGCAGAAAGAACTACATCACGARCTGCAAAACCAAACTGATCTTGACATTGAAGATAAACCAAAATCACCCCAACAAGACATTGCTGAAACAAAGCAAACTAATAAACAGCAACAACAAATTGAGCTTCCGTCATTTGCTAATGAAGATCAATCAAAATTACTYCAAGAAAACATTGYTAACACGAAGGACATTACTAAAAAACCACACCAACAACAACAAATTGACCTTCCATCATTTTCCGCTGAAGACACGGAACCAAAATTTCTTCAACAAAATATTGCCGACGAAATTGCTTCTCACAAACAACAACATGAACAACATCAAATTGACCTTCCATCGCTACTTCTTAACAGTGAAGATGATACGAAATTATTTCAAAATATCGATGCGAAARAAGATGAAAAGCAAACAAATGTTCAGCATTTTAATGGTCAGGAGCAATCAAGTGGAGCTGATCGAGCTCCATCAAACCTGCCGAGTGATGAGGGCACCAGTAAACAAGGGAAGCAAAGTCAACAGCAGCAACTGGTATCATTAACTTTAACACCAGGACAAGATACAATGGAAACCAGTAAAGATCATGGCGAACAAACGTGGACTGTTACATTGGATACCGATGGTAGTACTGATCAAATCGATAGCCCCGTTAACGATTCTGCCACATCAGAAAATAAGGATGGAAGTGCTGCCTTGCCGGTGCAAACTAAAACCTTTGAAGATACAATCGGTAACGATAGTTCTGCTGAAGATTTAAAGGATGAATTTTTTGCACATAGACCTGTCAATGTGTCGTCTTTGTACAATACCTCTGCGAGTGAAAATACAGTTCATCCAGATGGTAAATCGAAAGGARCAGCTGAGGGTAACACTTCATTTCCCGACCACRACAAAATTGTTGCCGAAAACAGCACTAGTACTGACGAACCAAAGCACAATAAATCTTTAGCATCAAATTTTATAAAGGAACATCCAGCTGCATTTAAAATCTTGATGGAATACTTTCAAAACGAGACACGGTTGCAAGAAAAGGTACAAAGCAAGCTGAGACAAGCTATTAAAGGAAMTGGACAGGCTACGAAGAAATCGCTGGGAGTGCACTTCAAGATGGAACCACCTCAGTTTAAACAGTTCCTTGACAAGGTAATTAAACTTGCTGAGCTGAAAACCGAGGCTGAGAAGAAAAGTAAATTGACTTCGAAGTCAAAGAAAAATAAAAAACAAAAGTCTAAACAAGTAACTGCATCGCGCAAGGCCGACGTTAATAAAGCTGGTAATGCGACAGAAACATCTAAAAGAATCAACGTCACTTCGCTTTCTCAAGGTCAATTAAACAAAGCATACACCGCACAACCGCCAATGAGCCCATATGACGTTGGAAATGCTCTCAAAGCAATGGAGAATACTATAAATACCCTTCTTGCTCAAAATATTGATCAAACTGCTGCAATTCCACCTGCAGCTCAACAATTTTTGGGACCTTCCCAGGCCCCAACACAAAGCGCGACTAAAATACCAATGCTGGATTCKAAAACATTTTTGTACAAACAACGTCTTAAATCTCTGCAGATCTCTTTATCTCAAGATTATTTCAGTTTCTGGATGTACCACTTTAGGTCTTTCGAAGAGATGAGTATCAATCCTAAACAACTTCGTTCTGGRATAGCTTCTCTTGGTTCCACCACTCGACTGGGGCGTGTTGTCAAAAAGGCATTAAGGGGTGAGACTGTCACTCTACTGATAGTTGGCGGGTCTATATCTGCTGGAGGAGGACTGGAGAGAGACAGGCATGATGTGCATGGCATATACTTTAAAGCCTTTGAACAATGGTGGAASAAAGTAGTCACGCCTATCACAGCCTCGGCACTTCAAATGGATGTGGTCGCCATAGGTGGAACCGACTCCGAGTATTTTTCATACTGCATCAAAAACTATATYAAACATGAGCCAGACTTAGTTATTTGGGAGCTCGCTGCAAATGACTACCGTCGCTATACTGGGCGAAATATGGACCCTGCAAAGCCCTTGGAACAACTTACAAGACTTCTTTTAACACTTCCATCTCATCCTGCTATCATTTTTGTGAACTTCTTTCGAGGTGATTATTACAAGACCACTTTAGGTCAAAATTGTCCAGATTCGGAGGACGAAGGTGGAAGGCTTATAGCTGAGTATTATCAAATAACGTCCCTTAGTTGGCGCAATGTGATTTGTTCCCAAATGAAACAAGAGAACACCGCCACTATGTTGGCTTTTAAGCGTGAATTCGCTCCTCTAACGCTCAAAACGCTGTTCAGCTCGGACGGATATCATCCAAGTCTTCTGGGACATGCGCAGTGTGCATCGCTGCTTATTTCTTATGTTCGTAGTGTCTTTGAAGAAGTAGTCTCGCGGGAAATCGCCAATATAAACACAGGAATCCCATATAATGAWGCACCRATCGCTAATGGACACATTGTCCTGCCACGCCCGATTTACGAGGATCCGCCGAACCCTTCACCATTCTGCTGGACACTGCTTACTTCAGACTACCGAATCCATTTAAATAATCATTTACCTGGTATGAGAATAGTACAGGCCAATGGCTTCGTGCTCACAAACATTACGCACTGGCCTGTTAGAACAGACCGTTTGCGTTGCCTGAAGGCTGAGCACTCAGGAGCCTTTTTAACCATAAGTTTTTACTCGCCACCACAGCAGTATGATAGGACTAAGCCTTTTAGGGAGATAGCTCTTATTACACACAATAGTTTCTCAGGTAGTGCTACTGTATGGCTGGATAACAACTTCCGGAAGCCAATGTTTATACTGGAGCCTACGGGTCAGCGGAGAACTCAGCTCAATATAGTTTCACGGTATCTTCCYCCTGGCGGTCACACTATCAACATCAGAGCTGAACAGCCTGGATTTTGCGTATCGGCTTTAGCGATTCTTTGAGAAATATTTTKAATGTGGAATTGCATGGATGATATGAATGACAACTCAAAGTACSTMATCATTTGTCATTCGCATACAGTCGCCATGTCAATCGATGTAGTGCTTTAAAAACAGAACACTTGTATCAACCAGATTTCTCATCACTGAAGCTCAACAAAAGCACGGTAGTAATTATAGACATTAATAATGAAAACACTGAAGCAATATTGGGAAAAYATTCGGTTCGTGACACTAGAGTATTGCTATTTTTTGCACATGTGTACAAAATTTGAAGTCACAATTTGAAGTTTTAAAAACTGTGGATTGATTTTTTTTTTTTTTTGAAATAATTGACGCCATAGAAAAATCCCAATGTTTGAAGTTAACGGCAGCGTGATGCCACAGGGTCGTGATATTGTACAATATATTTCTCACTCCTGATTGACCTTCTTAGCTATTATCATTTTATTTGCTATTTGATAGCAATGTTGGGTTTCGGTGATTCTCTATGCTAAGGGAGTTTACTTTTTTAAAGTAGTCCCGCGCGTCAACGCAAAATTCAGAATATTCAGTATATGTTACTGGCAGTCACGATAGAATGGTAACTTGATCAGTCGCGCCCCTTTTCGTTTACCAGTTGATGGGTTTGTATGAAACATCTGGCTRACAAAAGGAAAATTTATGGGTTTAACAATGTTTTCTGGCGGAAACTATCACAAAACCAAGCAAACAAATTGGAAAGATATCTAATAGCCAGAGGGGAAATACAGATTTTAACGTTCGGTATATTCATCATGGTTTGTTTCCAAGACAAAAAGCGTTTCGTTTGATTCCTTAGGGCAAAATTGTTCAATATTTTGATCTTCTGGTTAAAGCAAGTGATAGAGTCCCATTTATTCTGGATCAGAATAATCTTGATTCAAAACCCAAGTGACCTCAATCTCAAAATCCTGGATCTAGTTTTTTTTATGATCTCGTGATGACCAAACCTGCTCCTTACACAGAACATTCCCATTATTTCCCCGTTGTATTATAAAGTTGTTTATGTTTCATTGAGCAGACACTTATAATGTCTGAAGCACTTATCTCTATATTTTGTGTTATGTTTCATGTGATTTATATGCAAAAGACAGTCGWTATCTCAACATAACCGAAGACTTTCACCACCGACTTATTTTCATTTCGCCTTTTTCAGTTATAGCGTGCAATCGTCCATCAAGCCGTTAAGGGGTAGTTTTCAAAGCTTATCTCATATTTTGTGTTGCTAAGTAATTAGGGCAGAGCTGGTGCGTTTTATTTCTCATGTTTAATATAATAAAAATCTTTCAGACCAATTGACGTGACGTTAATTTTTGAAGCGTGCCGACTGTAAACTCAGGGAAGGCTACAAATTAATGTATATCTAATGAGCGCGGTTTACTATGTCAGAAACTACAGAATTCAACATTTTGCAGGTGCAAATCATGAGTAAGCTGATCAAAAAAAMTGACWGCATASATTATTGTTTGAGATTAGCGCTAATATGGGACTGACTTAGATACAAAGGTCAGATAAATTTTCAGAAATAATATTTCCTCCAAAACGCATGCATTTGGGATGCAGAGAATACTAGTCAATCTATTTAATACTTGTACTTAATGTTTAACGACAACAATCTTATCAACAAGATTTGATCTCCAGAAACGAGGAAATATAAATGGGAAAGATCATATCTCGTGAATATTGAAAAGTAGTTTAGTGGTATTTATGTGGCGATATTGTTTCCCCAATCTGTTAAACCTGTAATTAAAATGCAATTCATCACCGCAGACRCAYGTCGCGCACATTTACTTCTAGATTCCCGCTTGGGAGTCGCACTGATCTACAATTAGCAAGGCACGCATGTAAATAATGAAATCGAAACTCTTGTTATAGAAGTGAAATTGAGCGCTACGTAGTAGCTCCACTAGGAATTCTGGCAGTTCTATCTCAAGTAAGTATAATAATTGATAAAGAAAAGTGTTGCAATATATGTGTTTAGAGAGAAAATGGTCAGAATCGAAAGACATAGGGCTTTCGCTATGAAAATCTATTCAGGCTTTCGCATTTTTAGAGCGAGCAATGTAGACGACAAAAGGCACAACAAAAGGCTCAGATAATTACCTATAAGAATTCTGGAAAATTATTCAAAAAGTCCACTTTAGTTCCGCTGGTTAATAGGTACATTCTTTTGTCGCTTCTCCTACGTGTGAATCGAAGACCAAACTGGTTCACGAAACCAATTTTTGCTAAAGCTATTTCTAGTTTTCATTTGACATCAAAACAGTCATTTTAAAGAAAAGAAGACTGATCCAGATCGAATGTTTCTGTAACAAACATGGCCGMCAATCGACATTGCCATCATTAGTCTAGAAGCTAGACAATGTAGATACAATCATGGGTTTCTAAGTCTCATCACTCAAATAAGGGTGGCTAGCACTGAAGACCACACGAATCCAGAAAATGTTTTTCCTAATTCATTCCATCCGGACGAAAMCGTATCTGCGTCCACACGTAGTGTACATACGCATCGTATACGACCGTATACAGATATTCTCCACTCTGGAGAGCGCGCATACAAAAATCTCCGGAGACACTAAGCATATATCGAAGGACAAACGTAGACGTTAGCTGCATACGCTAATCAAATGCGGGAACCATACGCGTATACACTAGCTATCCGCATAAAAATATTAACAGATGCAACTTATAGAATACGYGTGAACGGGRMCTGTTCAAATTTTACAAGGACAAGAAATAGATGCGACATATTGCCAAGAAAATTGTTCCCTTCAAAAGAACATAGATTGAATTAAACAATTGTGGCATTAATTTCGCCCGCCTCGAATTCATGTGTAAAATCCTTTCTATTGTTTAGATAGTGCAATTTTATGCAATTTCTTCAACAGAAGTCACGTTGCACTTTAGTGGATATTATGACTCTAAATTAAAAGCATATGTATGAACTACTTAGATACATTATACAGTTACCATGGAAAGAGGAAATCAGTCTATCTGAAAGTTCATGCGATCAAATATGATATATGGTTCTGATGTCTTTTCTACCCAATTAATGGGAATTGAAAAAAAAAATCGAGAATAACTGTTATTTTATTATTCTGAAGTAGTTTTGATATGGAAAGAAAATTAAAAAAGGTCAACTATGTAGATATGTTATGCATATGCTGTTCTGGTGATTGCTTCGTGGATACTTGGTCACGTTACGTTTCCATTGGGAAAGAATTTGTGACGTTTAATTTGTTGACATAAAAAGTTATCATGCTAATTATAAATCCTTGAAATCTGAAAGTCGACTTAATATTTTGTACTTTTGTGTGTGCATTTGCGATAACGTGATTTCGTGCGGTCCTTCGATAAATCATTAGTCTCACCCTTTGGAACACTTTTTAATGGCATCCGGTAATCAGTGCGATATAGGTACCAAGCAAAGGAAGGAAATGCTCCGCGCATAGCTACCCTGGTCAAAACCGATGCTCGATTTTTTTTCACAGTCTTCGCTACTTGTTTTGGTTGGCTCAAAGCGCCGATTAAATCGAACCTCTGGAAACAGGGCAGCTCGTACCGTCCAAGAAACATAAAAGACCAAACGAACCATTTCTGCTTTATCGTCATCGACTCGCTCATGCATTTTCAAAGAAAAGAAGAAAAAAAACACTCTTGTGTTTCCTGTATTCTATACTCCTTTTCCGGAAAGGAAATGCATAATCACACCCTGTCTCAGTGAAATTTCTTTATCGCCATACAGTCTAACTGCAACAAAMGCATCGCTAGATAGCTTTCTCCTTRACGAACACCACAAAGCCATGAGAATGAAGGCTTTGACGAAAGAGCGTGATCACGGACACGTCAGTCATAACCGCCTGGTCCATGACGTCATATTATGACGTGAAGAATGTGATAATATCGATACAATGAACTCCTTAAAGGCTTTCCACGTATTCTTAGTGTATATTGGTGTTACTGAGAGCATTATGACTATAAATTGGATGCACCGTTAGCCAGATTTATCAATATTCTTACTGCATATGTAATTTATCTTTTTAGTGTGCGTGTTTCATCTGGCTATGAATTGGCACTGCTCCTCTATCTGTCGCCATGAGGTCTAGCTCAGAGCGTAGTATGAGGGGTCAAAAAATTAATTCTAAAAGCCCTCCTGCGCGAAAAGGAAAAACCATACCAAAGCAAACGATAAACACAAACAAAAACAACAATTCGTCTATAGGTATACGTTTAATATATCATTGTCAATGATTGTATTATTGAAACATTGTACAGTACAGATCAATTCATGATTTTTTTGATTATTTTTTTATTGACTGAAGTTGTTACAGTACCGAGTGACAMAAGCAACACCTGTTTGAACAAGATTGACAGTTTTTGATCTTGTTGTGGTAGCAATATACTTTTGCCGCCACAAGCCGAATGAAGAAGTTAAGCTATACAGAACACCGACTGTGCGTTTGACGGAAAAGCTGTTTAAACAGTGCGGCCAATTGCAATTTCATATATTTGCGAACCGTTGTTTCTCCTTATCCTGTGGTCAAACAGGTTTTAATCCAGTTTAATCACTGCGCACATCGCGTAACGTAAGTGCACGTAGACCATGTCATCTCATTAATGTACTAACTGTATATGAGTGGAATATTTGAACAACGAGGTCATTAGGTGTGAGAAGTGATCAGACGGACTGACGAGAGGCGAGCTGATATTATTTCACTAAAGCATTCAAATCAAGTAGAAAAGGCCAAGTATAACTACTTTGTGGGTGAGAAAATTTAACATATCAATATGAATTAGCTATATATCAAACATCTATTGTACATATACAATGTTTTTAGACAACTGTRTTTCTGACTCTGACACAAATTATGTGCCTTTTTAATTGCTCTAMGAAGACCTCGAGCTTCTATAAATAAATGTCATATTGAGAACGCTTTAATTTCGTCAAGTATCTAAGTCTCACAAGATTAATATGCTTTCTGCCGATTATTGAAATGTTTGAAGTTTGTACAGCACTGCTGTGCTTGAATTTTTTGAGAAATAAACACGATAAGGGCTATCGATCATAGTATTTGAAGTTCTATTTGAGTGTTAATCTYTCAACTAGATTTGCGAAACACTTCAGTCTCTCAGCTCCAATGCAAAATGAATTGATATAATAAATTAATGTTTGGCGGCAGAATCATACGTATCCTACTATCAATCTATCGGTGGTTTTCATATGGTSACCAAATGCTATTTTATACATCTATAGTCTTGATGTGTGTTATATATAGCCAGAAAGAATAGCGTTTTAGATAAAGTCTAAAACGTACAGCCTTATGGGTAATTATACCAGCAATGTATCGCRTAACGGACGGAAGTCTGAAACTGTTAATTGAAGTGAAAACCGCTTGTCAGAAACGAAGCGGAATAGGAAGCAGACTTGGACTATAGTGTCAAATTCAAAATGGCGGTTGTCATCTGTATTGTGTTTTGCTTTCATTAACGGTTAGGGCGGCCCTAGAGATGGGATTATGATTGGTTCTACTGCTATTTATTTCTAGTTTCGTTTCAATTTCATTCATCAGAAGCGTATGGATTTCCGTTATCTCATCCTTTTTCAATGCCGTTTGAAGAGATTTGGGACTCCGCGTCTCTTATAAAGCTACAATGCTTGTTGGCCTTTTCATAAACGAGTGAGGGACTGGAGCCGAGTTTTTTAATGAAAACCAAAAGAAGCACACACTTTACGCTGTACTCGGTTTTCATATCGAAGGACTAAGCCGAACTCGCGCAGCCCGCAAGATGTTTAAGAAGAAATAGAGTACAAACAGATTGTGTGCAACATTTTCCACTATTTACTACAAAATAGTGTTAATTAAACAATAGAAAACAATAGAATTAGCATAATTTAGCAGTATTTAGTGGTATTTATGTTGCACAGTTTTAGTGTTTGTACTCTATAATTTACATAATACTAATATTTTGATAGCTACTAATATTTGCACAATTCAATCTGTGTAACATATCAGCAAAACATTTTTACGCTTTTTTATTCAAAGTGTTTATTTTAGTTGCTTTTTCAGCGGAAATGTACATTCGTAGTAGGATATTTTAATGTCAACTTTTGATGAGAACTTTTTTATAAATTGCTACGCTGTCCTTGATTAATGTAGGAATAATGGTAATAATAATGTTAATATTGTATGATGGCGGTAATAAATGATAGGAATTGAGGATCTGATCGATTTTGTATCTCTGCCTGCAATTTAGATCCATGTAGAAGTTTCCTTAGAATTTTTATCTTTGAGCGATCATAATCTCTTTCATTGCCTTTAGTCAAATAAAAATGACAACAAAACATYATAATAGCGAAGAGCATAATGACAGCGAAGCCCTTTTATTGCCAAGTAACACATAAAGGTACCAGAAGCCGTATTACGTTACATTACTCGAATTTACCATAGAGACTTTGAATGGCCGGATGGCTTGCTCGTAGTGGCTTATAAACCGTGAAYCAAACAGAAGCAAAGTGATTCAACAGTGGTTTTGTACACAATTGATTTGGCCAGAGGCGACAAACCTTTATCGAAGGAGAAGTTGTACTCAAAAGTGTACTACTTTTCAGTTCATAGTCTTTTGTTAAAAACACACTAAACACGCACTATGCCTACATAAACGCATTACTTGAAACTATATCTTGATGCACATACATGGTAGATCTTACAAAACGCTATTTTGTTGCCACTTTTAACTATAACATAGTTAATGGTACAACACGAAAAGAAAGTAGTCTCAAGTAGCATTAAAAATGTTTTTATCATTTTTCAGAAAACCATCTTTTATCTGAAGACCAATGTCTGCAGAATGCGTGTTGTATAATAGGGAGTTATTAATGGGCCACTTAATTAATCATGCTAGCTTTTACAACTGAACCTCCAAGTCAGATGTGCAGTATAGAAAGCCTTGTGACAGTGCTATCTCTTTTCCCATTTATAATCAAACAATGACAAAAGTTCCAATGGCAATTAGCATATCAGTACACGAATAAATTTATCTTCAAACGCGCCCAAAAGCACCAGTCATCAAAACAAAAACGTGCGCGGTTTTATTGCTTCCGTTGGCCGTAAGCCGATAATGTTTGCTATATATAAAAGTATGTTGATCAAGTCAAACAACCCAATATGATGTATCCATATTCGTATCAATGTTCTTTTTTAACTTTTGCAGGRAGATTGTGAGGAGAAATTTTCCATTAATTGAAAGTGTAAGTCTGATTTTGACTTGAAGGCGGGAAACWTAGGTGCCTAAACATGGCATTCAGATGCACAAAACGTCGAAACCTGTATCAAAAGCTTTCAACAGAAGAAGAAGAAAACTCTGATGTTTTAAGTGAGAACAACAAGCGGCAAAGYATCGACAACGATGCGTTCAGCTTCGGTAGTCAAGAATTGGCGGCAAGGGCAGTGGAAGAGAAACAGACTCGTGAACAGTTTTTACAAGGTTGCGGTGACCACCGCAGACAGGCCGTTTGTGAAAAGATTGAAAGAGAAATGCTAGATGAGCGAGGAATAAGTCTGCGAAAACTTCGAAAATACATGATACTGGAACTGATTCTTCGAGAAGTGAACTTGTTGTAAGAAGATATTTGAGTGGCCTTTCTAATATGTCAAGGGAATTCAGCCGGAATTGCTTTTCACTTCAAAAAGCAGTTAACAAGAAACAGAACAATAGGCTTTGGTGGTCACCTTAGGAAATTGGTTGTGAAGGTTTTGTTCGTGGAATTTTGTAAATGTGTTTGAAAAAAGGTCGCCTGGATCTCGAGTGCTATATAGAATTGAAACGAAAACATTCTGTTTATAGTTTTGCTGGTCTTCACGTGTACTGACATTGAACACAGACACATTACTAGAGAAGTACTAGTTTGAGATGAAATCGTTATCTTTCAGAACGCAATTTTTGTACTAATCCAATTGGCAAGGCAATTCCCTAATAGAACCTGAGTATATACTGTGATATTTCCGTTCTACTAATGGCTGACAAGTACCTACCACGGACAACAGTCAAAATACAGCTTGTCGAAAACAACCATATATTTTGTATATAGCTTTTCTTTTTACGCAACAAAATTTGAATAATAATTGGAAAAGTGATTACATTGTATGTTGAATACGTTAAGCTAAACAAGTTTGTTTATTATATTGGTCACCAGTTGGTAAAGAAACGATATCCTTAGTTACTTAAATGATTGGTCTAAACCGCTGCTTTATCATTCTTGTCTAATAAGATAATCCCATATTGCTATTAACAATTTTTTTAACTTTCAAGTTTGGATTTAAAATGGTCCGTTTTAATTCATTTTTAAGCCGTTTTCTTTTCCAGAAGTTTTCGGCTTTTGTTTTCGGAAACGCCCGATTGAAAGTAATATCAACATTCTATTCCATAGCTTAACAGAAACAACTTTCTTAATTTATAAACAGTTGCCAAAAACATCCCGATCAAAAGACTTTGCGGCAGAAAATTAATGATGAAGAACCGAAAATTTCTAAGGCTCAATCTTCATTCAAAAGTTTTGGTATGAAGGTCTAATGAACGCAATATTCTTTGAATTTATACTTGCTCTTTATTCGCTAAGCCTTAAAATCTAAAATCTCCTTTTATCTGCATTTAAACATGCTATTATCCATTGTTTGGGTGTGAATTATAAACACCAACGGAGCATTAACATTGCCTAAGGCGATTTTATTGTAGTTAAGTTCTGTTTTATTTCTCTTTTACTCGAAAGAAAGCGACGCTAATCTCCTTATCAAACAAAGTATCGTGACATCGCATCAACCAGGTCCGTTCAACCCGTCATTTGTATTTGCAATATATTAGCTCTATTTTCTGTCACTCGAACCTTTGAAATTATTACCAGCTGCAAGATCAGGCCAGTCAAGAGAGACTTGGGGAAACCAGGGAGCCAATTGACAAAATTAAAAATCCATCTTTAATTCGAACTCTTTGCTTCAACAATTTATGAAGCAGTTCTTTAAGCCTCAAGAGGTTCTTGATAGTTTATCCATTTTTTACCATATATGGAAAGCCGTTTTTTAAAAAAAAMAATTTCGCATTCTCAGTATAAAATGATTGAAAAAAAAGTTAAAAATATATACTTTTGATCCCAAATAGAAATTCTCTGCTTCTCGAAAAGATGCAGTTTTACCTAATAGTCAAAAARGTTATATGCATTCTTACACCGTTATAATTATTCATTTTAATTTTTTGTTTGTTTTAATTTTTGACTTTTTCATCCATAACCATGTGAGTGTAGAGCGCACCGGTTCCGCATTCTATATAGTTCTCTTCAAAAGAATGAGATATTTTACTCATGTTTAATATATTAAAGGCCCACATGCACCTTTTCGCGCAAATAGAAATTCGCCATTTTTGATTTTAAACCAATCAGGAAGCACCTTTAAACAAGAGATCATTTGTAAAACAAAAGAACGATCTTGAAGGATGCTTGGATGCTTCTGGCCATCTACCTTTAACCGGAGTGGCTAGACATAAACACGAGCATGTATAGTTTAACTACCTACTCTTGCCCAGCATGCAGTTTGAGATTTGTTGCACATAAACAGTCTTCATGATCAGAGCACGAATTGTGGCGCAGCTGAACTTTCTCTAAAATTGTATTTCCGAAAGAACAGAGTCGAGCTTTGCAAAGGAAGCCCTGTAAGACAGAAAGTCGTTCGTTCTGTGGCGTCACAATACTCTATTTTCGAATTCAAAGCGAATAATCGTTGGTTTTTTGACAACAGATTCTCTGCACAAGGATTTTACCCAACAAAAAAGACAGCGCAAAAAATGTAACTATTACAATAACCTTGAAAATTTGTCTGTTTTTAGTCCAAATTGAGACTAATGCGCGCTGTATTTCCAGAAGGCCCATGATTAGTCTTCTGAGTTCTGGGAATACAGAATTAGCCTCAACTCGGGAAAAATTCAAATTGTTAGCGATATTGTACTAACAACATTTGTTCGTGCTTTCTTTTATGTTAAGATATATAGCTGTTTCAAAAAAGGTTGTCGGATAAAATGGCTAACGGTCAATGGTCGAACGGCGATTGCACGACCAAGTGGCCAAGGCAATAACAACTGGTTTATACTGTAAGATGGTCTGTGGTAAACATTGGCTCCATTTAACTTCCATATCTGTATAAGGTGAATCCAATAAGTGAAATTTGTTTATCAAAACAGTGTAACCATAGTCCCTTTCGGTCGTGCAATCTCCCTTCGACAATCACCGTTTGCCGTTCTCCCCGACAACGTTTTTTGAATAACTGTATAACGGGTCTGTGCGTAAGAGAATCTGCTGCAGTCAAATAAAACAGCGGTCATTCGCTTTCAATTCGAAAATCATGCATTCCAGAGTCTGCTTTATAGAGCGATTTTGTACAAAAAAAAAACATGATGGTAGTTTATATAGCTCTCTTTCATTTTACAGGCCCTTAAACGTCCCATATATATGTTTGCTGTAATAATATAAGCTTAATTTACTTTAAAAATTAAATTTAGAAAGTTTGGCAATTTAAACAGTATGCATGTTTACATAATGAAATGATTGAAAAAGTTCAACAAGAGAAATGTTTACTAAAACTACCTTAGTGATGAAAATTACTCATCATCAGAGTCACTTTGAATTTGTATTCTATAGAGTATTTAAACCGAGCTGTCCTTTTTCGTATAAGATCTCAATTTCTTCATCAGAAATAGTGACGAAGCGTTTGGTCTGTTTCCCTTCCCTAGTTCACTCTTAAAGTTTGATTTGTAAAATAACAACGAAACTAAGATATTTAAAACTAACGTCCAGTCCTCTGGTAACTTGTTAAGTTGTTATCTTAAAAATGAAAGTATGCCATTTCTTATCAAATTAAATGACCTGTATATTTAATGTTTAAAATCATAATCAGTTGTTGATTTAATCATCATTTACTAAATTATTCCAATAGTCTGTTTTGAAATTAATGATTTCATGCATTAATTGTTGTAAAAATCTTTTAAAGTGGTTTAATTTCTTTAACGGTTTTTGCTTTAAGGTCAGTGTTTAACTACGTGTTTTTTCAAACACAAGATCATTGAAAATACTGTTTGGATAGGACTTTGATTTAAGGTGTCTTTCGAAACTTGATAACATTCCTATAAGCGACGACGGTYCGTACTCTTTTCCTTTTTTGGTTCGCAAACACACGAGAAACTCACTGAGAAGTTCATTCAGCTCGGTAGGTGGAATGTCGGCTACGATCTCACTACGAGTTTCGCCTTTGGTTTGAAGAAACCTGCTTGATCTCTTCCCGTCTTCTTAACAGTGTTTGCATTTTCTTGTTCTCGTATGAACGACTCTACAGTACTTTCGAGTGACACATAGCCTGAGTATCAAGCTCTCTCAAAGGGGTTTAGGGCGGAGCGAGAAAGGAGAGAGAGCCTCTCTCGTTTCTGATTGGGCCGAACGATGATTTTTCACTAGTCAAAAATATCGTTCGTCTTTCTGATTGGCTAAATTCAGCTTACAAACGAGAATTGAATTTACTAAATAAGATTTCCTTGTGTAAATCTCAAAAATCTCAAAAGACACTGGTACGGCCAAACAAAGTCCTTCAGATGTCCCCAGGAATCGTGATTGATAAGTGACGTCACGATTAAGAGGGTAGAGCTCCCTCAAGGATCTGATCAATGAAGGACAATTTTCCATTAAAATACTTAATCGATACTTCATTTTCTTAGTGTCTTAGTGCCTTTTATAGCGGAGATACSAGCGATTTTATGGTCGGGTGAMCACATACAAACGCTTGTAAATTTGGTCTTGCTAGCTCCTTTCCTTATGAACAAGACCAAAAATTTACAAGCGTTTGTATGTGGTCACCCGACCAAAAAATCGATTGTATCTCCGCTWTAAAWGGCACTAAGRCACTGAAATTTGGTAGACAGCTACTTTTTTCCATGCGCTTTAAGGATATTTCAACGAATCCGAAAAATGTATTTTTGTGACGTCACACATGAGTACCTTAGATACAAAAGAAAATGTCGTAATTACTACATGTTACAATAGCCTTGAAAATTTGGATTTTCTTCGTGTTGAGAAGTATTCCCATAGACCTAAGATTTTAGCTTCTGGGAATACAGTGTTAGCCTCAACTCRAGGAAAATGTGAAAAATGCTATTGTATTTGCAACACTTTCTCGTGCTTTCTTCTTCTTTTTTTTAAAACCTTTGCGTAAAAGAATGGAGTATTCTCCTTGTAAACAAAGCTGTTTGACGTTAATGATTCTTATGGGCAACTTATAAAAACTTATTCAAAACTCTTTTTCTCAATTTTGCGTACGTTTTCCTAAAATATATTTTAAACAATTGTTGCCCAGTTGTTGGTGTTGTTTKCTGTTGCGTTTTTTTTATTTCGTTGTCATTTTTTCCTGCATGGCGAAATTAAGGAGAGTGGTTATCTAAGATTGACCTAAGACCAAAATTCTTCTCATAAAGAACATGAGATCTTTGACGTAACAATTTCGCACCTCTTAGCGGGCAAACGGACTTCATGGTGTGCTATTTTTTTTTTCTTTGTTTGTTTGTTTTTCTTTATTTTATATATTTGAATAAAACCATTTGGATTGTAATATTTCACTTGCTTTTGGTTTGACTAGCATTATCACTGACATCTTCAAAACATTTTAGTGTTTATATTTATTAGTCAATCACAGACCGAAAAAAAACGAGCAAAGTTATTGTTTTTCTTTTGAAATCATCAGTTTTTACTACGGTTTGCTGCGCCCTCATGTACTACCAACTTCACTAGACCAAGTGGTCAAATAGTCTTCTTCACGGTTCCCTGAACCATCTTGAAAGGTAGCCATGCCTTAAAATCGAAGCGAGACGATAGTTGATCGTGCAATGAAACAAACCTTCTTTCACACCTACAGAAAATTATTCACAGATTTCTATCATTTTACGCTCAACGGTCATATATATCTCGGTTGAAAAAAATTCGAAAAAATTCGACTGCCTGACGTTTAGTCCTGGGACTWAACGTCAGGCTTCCTGACGTTTAGACAATCCGTTTTTTAAATAACCGACTACCGACAAAAGCCTAAAATTTTAACTGACTAACGACAAATGCTTGAAATTTTAACTGACTACCGACATTGCCCCCCCCCCCCCACCCCCCCATTAAGACCCTGTGATCCGACTGTT